CCAGTTACCAGAGGCTTCAATTCATCAATTAAATTATCATTGCTACTCATATCTACTTTCACAGCATCCTCTGAAACATCTGTTTTTGACCAACAATTTTTAATTGTTACTTCTTTCCAAGTATTTGAACAGAATGTGATTGGATATGATGTTTTTAATACTTGAAGAGGAGTTACCAAGGTTGTGATGCATATCATAAACATTAATTCTGATTTTAACAAGCAATTCCTTAGAATGAGCCCGAAAAAAACGGCACCTAGACGTTTCCCCGACGACCGTTTCCCCGACAAATACATCTTGTATTACAATATTTATTTGTTTCCTTGTCATGCCATAGCTGGCTAAGTTTTATCAAACCATTTAAGTCTATTAATCCATTCATTAGGTGACTAAGCTGCTTAAGTCGGTTAGGCCATTTATTAGCCAATTAATATTAAATATAGTTAACAAAATCTTATCGGAGAAATGTCCTGTTGGGGAAATGTCGGGGAAACGTCCTGTCGGGAAACGGTTGTCGGGGAAACGTACCAGACCCGAATAAACATAGGTTAGAACAAATAATTATATTTATTGTTTTAATAGATGAATTAATGATTCCTGCGTCTGCAGGTTATAAAAAAGCAGTCATATCAGGAGAAAGATGATGAAGTGTAATATTTGTTAAAAATAGTATTTCATCAAAAATATGCACTGATGTATTATCATGTAATAACATAATTTTGCTTTTTTTCCATCATTAGATCGTTTAATTTCTTCAAATAAAGGTTCCAAAATGGAAACCTGAAGCCAGGCTTTTGCATTCCAATAACAATAGATTTCTATAATGTCTCTCGGAGTTTGATTTTTATTGATAAATAGATGAGGAAGTTTTACAGTCCTATATTGCATTCATAATTAAGAAAAGAGTTCATCAGGAAAATAAATCTCATGTAAACCTACGTAGGGTTTAAAACTGACCAGCATTATGCGGAAATGTTAACAGAATTACCAAAATATCGACATAATGCTGGCCAATTCTGAACCCTACGTAGGTTTATGTAAGATTTATTTTCCTGATGTTGCCTTTGATTTTGATCATTTAACGCCAGAAAGAGGACCGGTTTATAATGCTTTTGAAGGTTCTAAATGCTCCCAATAAATTGAGTACATTCTATAAAAGATCATTAGTAAATTATAAATGAATTTACCAGTTTCAACATAATTATATAGGATATTATTTCTTTGTTGCTTTATATTATATCTTTGTTGAAAACTTGAAACCAATCCATCAAGGGCCTTAAAATCATCAATTCCAAACAATACAGCAAACCTTTTGCTTTTTTCAAACAATAACAACTCAGCCCATGCGGACAAGTTCCGAAAGGTTACACCTTTATTCCTCAGTTCGTAGGGATAGAGCCTCAGCCTGGGAAAACATATAAGAGGGATATCCCCCTTATCGATCTTATCGATCTTTGAGTATCGGTCGGATAATTCACTCAATATATACGGGCCAAGTGATCAGAGATATATCTGTGCATTTATATTTATCCCTCGCCAGGATAAAACTGTATCCATCCGAACACAGGAATAAAGGTTAGAACTACCCGGAAATCGTCCGCATATGGTGCAACAACTCCCTGTAATTACTCTTTTAGGTAAAAATGTTTAGTTATCAATTCATTTCCAATTCCTGATTTCTGGATACTTTGGCGATCTATCATTTTGTTTATTAACATCTAAAGGATCAATTGTACCAATATATAAATTAAAGTTACGAATATGCCAAAAACGATAGGAGCAAAAAAATTAAAATAATAATTATTATTAAAGTGTACCATGACCCGTGCCCTAGTCCCAATTGAGAGAAAATACCTACTAATAAAACTTCACACGTATTGATGAGACCATAATTAAATATATTCCTTGCTTTACTACATATCCAATTATGTAATTTTTTTAAAGATATCAATTTGGAAATGTAAAAATCATAAAAATTATTGTATAAATTAAGCCGCCTCTTAACAAATCTTCATGGATGTTGGTGATAACAAAAATTCCGCCATTTTTATCTTTTTACACAAAAAATTATTAAATCAACTAAAATAATTATCAAATATCCCTCAAAAATTTACTTACAAAGCAAAATAATGCTAGTTTGTTTTTTATCATTACATTTTGATCATGCCAACAAATCATTTCTATAACTTCTCCGTTAGATTCCATAAACTAAAACACCAAACATTCTTCCGATAAGACTAGGACTTGAACTGTTTTTTACCCAATTACATAAATAATCCTCATGGTATATAGGACTCATTGCAGCAAATTCACACCAGAATAATATTGTTGTTTTCATCATATAAATGTTAAAACTACGAATTACAAAAAAAATATATGATTAATCAATCCCAAAAACAGAAGCAACCGGTTTCTTGCATCTTGACTTGTTTTTTTGAATCATTTATTTTAACTTTTTTTTTTTTTGTTTTACAATAAGTGTACTTTTGTCGCCGTCAAATGCATGATTTATTCAAAATTACAATTGGAAAATAAAAATTTATAAAATATACAATAATGACTGACATCTTTTTTATATGATTTCCGAATTAGCGGTTTTTTTTAAAGAAAAAACTTAACCAATAATTAACTCCATTATTGAATCTAATAAATCCATCCTCTCAAAGGAGGTTGTACACTCATAACAAATGGTTCCGAATTTTAATTTCTGCTTGTGTTTCCTGAGTAATTAAAACTCTCTTTCATTCATGCTTGGAAAAAGGAAATGTTTTAGTATTAGTATTACCAAATTTATGTAGTACGAATATAAATAAATAGCTTCAAAATGGCGGTGTTTTTAGAAAGAGTCAAGTTTGGAGCGTTGGCGTACATGTTATATTTTGACATTTTACCATAAAAAATCCATCACGGTTAAACATTTCTCCTTTGATCAATTGAGAAGTTGCAAAGAAATTACGAACAAATTAAATTTCATCATATTGGATAAACAATGCATGCATACAATGTACACTTTATCAATCCATTTATAATTTTATCATTTACAATTTTTTAATATAAGTCTAAATGTTTATTAATTGACGTTTGCATATTTAATAAAATTTAAAAAAATGATAATTAAAAAATTATTCAAAAATAAAATAAATGAAAATGATAGATATTTACATCAACGAACCAAAATATACGGCAAATGTCTAACTTGTAATAATACTAGTCTTTCATGGTGTCAATCATGTGATCCAAAATTATTAACGGAAGGATGGACCAGTGGCAATGAAACAATTGATGAGTTGATTAAAAGTACACAACTTCAAGCAACCGAGTATGCTAACGAACGTTATCTTCAATGGATTCCCTATGATGATTTAACAATTATTGAAAAGATAGGTGAAGGAGCGTTTGCAACTATATACAAAACTACTTGGAAAAATGGTTGGAAATACGCAAGTAATGGAAAAAGGGTTAATAAAGATAGGATTGTGGCATTAAAAAAATTAAAAAATTCACAAAAAAATTCTGATGAATTTCTTAATGAGGTAAATTATTTCACATTATTTTTTTCTACTTTACTATTATCGAGATTGATTTATTTTATTTCCTTTTGTAGTTCAAAAATTATGTCAAGTTTCATAATAAATCAAGCCTGATTTTAATTTATGGAATAACACAAGACCCAATTTCAAAAGAATATATATTTGTAATGGACTATTTAAAAAATGGAAGTCTTCAAAATTATTTATTAAAATTTTTTAAAAATATAAAATGGAATAACAAAATTGAAATCCTTCATGGAATTATTGATGGGTTGAAATTTATTCATATGCATAATTTTGTTCATCGTGACCTTCATAGTGGCAATATTCTTCAACATAAAGGTGCCAAATATAATTATTCATACGTTGCAGATTTAGGATTATCAATCCCAGCAAATCAAACATCAACATCAAATAAAAATGGCATATATGGAGTATTGCCATATGTTGCACCAGAAGTATTAAGAGGAGAACAATACACACAGGCATCAGATATATATAGTTTTGGAGTATTGATGTCCGTAATATCAACCAGCCAACATCCTTTCAGTAACTTGGCACATGGTTTGAATCTTGCAACAAAGATATGCGAAGGTTTAAGACCTGGATTCTCAAATAATACTCCAAAATTCTACATTGAATTAGCATACAGATGCATGGATGCTAATCCAGATAAACGCCCATCTGCTGGAGAGGTTGGAGAAATAGTCGAATTTTGGAATTACTCATTTAACAATGAATTAATAAACAATTTTGGATATGGCTATGAAATTGGACGGCTTAAATATTCTAAAGAAAAAATTGATGAATTAAGATCATATAGGAAGGAATTTTATGAAATGGATAAAAAAAAATTTGATCCTTCAACACTTTCTGCAACAATTCACCCAAATGCTGTTTATACCAGCAGATTATTAAAGTTTGAAAATCTTCCCCGGCCTGTTAATTCCAACAAAGTGACAATCATTAGTAATGATAGTGGTAATTATTAAAATTTTATTTATTAGTTATTAATTAATTAACTTTTTAATCATTTTAAAAATTAATTACATCAATACTATGGTTCTTCTTTTTTAGATCCTCATCAAGTTGATTTAAATGAGCTAGACACTGCTTTATATTTTTCATAAAGTTCATTATTGGAACCGAAAATTTTAAATAACATATGGCACAGTTCACTATTTCATAACAGAATGTCACAAGTACACGAAAAATTTATTTTATGTGTGGAAATAACGCGTACGCGAAATCAAATTTTGAATTTCCTAATTTGTTCTTAATTTGTTTGTTACTACAAAAAAAAATATAATATATACAAAACATCAATATCAATTCAACATCAATTCTATTATACACTTTTTTTTTATATTTTATCAATTATTTTTATTTTTTATTTTATAATTTTCTTCTTTCCTTTTTTTGAAAAATAAACATAAAATAGAAATAGAATTAATAGATTATAGATCAACAATGGGTTTTTTTATCTGTCAAAACTAGAATATTTTGACGGATCAATTGATTGATGAATTAATGGGACATAACAAAAAAGACATAAGCACTGGTAGAAAAAATGTAATTCACAAAGGTTTCACATTGTGAAATAACAATATTTTTTACAAATAATATTTCACTGGTATTTGTAAAACTATTGTGAAAATAGTTGTTGCGAAAGAAGGAGTTGAATACATTTGTGCTTTACTATCGGTGGCTGATCCGGATCATTTAAAAGAACATCCTCACGAACTTGAAGCAGCTTGCCCAAAAGAATTAAAGATTCCAATTCCCAATGATCATTTTTTTAAAGATCCGCACTCTTGGCTCATCATGTTTATTATGGATCCTACTTGGAATTTCTGACAAACAAGCTATTTGTGCACGCGACGGCAAAAGTAATTTTTTTATTTATTATTGGTCATTATTATTGATCGCCATTATCGGGATATTAATCCATTTAATTTATCAATCCCATTATAATAGGTTTCTGCACTTTTAAATTTTCGGGGAATTCAATTGGAACATCAATATTTGTCATTCATTTCCACGTTTAATAGATATTTCGTTTGATCTCGAATTTATCAAACGGCCAACTTATTATTCCAGAAAAATTAACCTGCAATGAATGCATTCAAAAATGATCGGAACAATACATCCATTGGTTCATGCTCGCAAGTTCATTCTCAATACTGTAGAGTATGTTGATTTATTTTCTTGCATATTTAGTCTTTACGAATGAATCATGAGAATAAGATCAATAGATTTAATAATTAATTAAATTAGATACACTTGTTATTATTAATATTATTCATCATAGTCCTAATACCAATAAAGAAAGGTTGATCGGACGAATAAATTTGTCAGCATATGACGCGAAGTTTTCTCATTAAATTCTTAATAAAAAAAAAATAATAAAAATTAACATAATAATTATTAGAGAAAAAATGATGCATTACTCTCAATGTTGCGATCCAGAACTCTTAGGTTAGTGAAAACCTGAAACGAAACCGTCTAAAACTATTTAGGGTGATTTAAGTTTAGAGCATCGGGAGAATGATAAAATATTATATCCGCATTTTCTTCCCGGTTTTTGTCAATAATTCACACAGGTTATACATATAGTCAATCCTCGTTCCAACGGATCTACGGGATCTTGCATTTATGCCAAAATTATTAATCGTGTTCAAACAAATTTTATCACGCGAATTTAATTATAATTCGTTGAAACGAGGTTTGATTGTATATTATGGCTTATTTTTTACTGTTTTCTGGACGAGATTGAGCCTGGGTATCTCCCGGAACTGTTTAGAGAATCAAAATAAAAAAGGTTTAAGGTTTCACGGTATTTACTCCCAAATGTAATATTATTAAATTTGTATTCCATATTAATTCTCTCCCACAATCAATATATTTTAAGGGTTGTAAATTTAGCATTCTTCTTGGAACATTAGGAATTTAGTAAGAATTTAACCGAATGAAAGGCCATATAATTAGTTAGGCTTTGCCTGTTCTCTCATAGTTTCTATGTCAGAAGATCCAGTAGTTTTTCTTCTCAACAAAATCCTTTATTTACTAATTATAAATGAGCAATAAATACAAAATGGTAGATTGGAATACGGAAAATCTACGTACTGTCTAAACGTACAACGATTCAGGACAAAATTTACTGCGCCACAATACCAATTTTGTGATACAACGTCTTTAAGTTTTATTGTGATGATGGTGTGGTGTTGATGATGATAATGGTGTTTATGAAAAAAATTTATGGTGTTAATAATGATAATGATAAGTTAATATTGAAAACTTGCAAAATTCATATGTGTAATATTGGCATCTCAACATAGTAAATTTGAAGCTTAATTCTTCATGATATCAACCAATTGAAACCATTGAATTATAGAAAAGATCATTGCTATAATTCTCATGATTTGTTCTTTTTGGTCTTACACTTCCATTTTGGAGGAATAGAGGATTCTACAAAGTTGCAGGACTAGGTGCACAGTGGAGGACAGCAAAAGCTACCAACTATTATTAGTTTACCACCAAGGATGATATCCATTCCTCAGAGGGTAGTGATCAATCTAACCAAACGATTAATGAATATTTCATTGCAGCAAAATTTTAGACTTCTACTTCTTAGCTAAGAAATTAAAAATGCAATTTTACAAGTAACCCTAAAGTTTGCCACCCAAGAATAATAGAAAAATTAATATTTCCTTTGATAAGTTTTCTTTAAATTTCATTGGTAAAAGTCACTTTCACGTGATAATTTTCAGCACGCCTTTTGTATATATAACTTTACTATATATTTTTAATTCGATTTCCCTTAAACAATACAAAACATAATGTATCCTCGATTATCTTATTTGAATAACAAATAAATGACGCGTTTTTATCTAAAAAATTCAATGATTTATGAGGTCTCCGCTGAGATCAAGCAAGCGAGAGTAAGGTTAATAGTAAAAGCACGAATATCATTACCAAAAATGCAAAAATCTTTATATAAAGATATTAAAGATATCATCAATCAGCCAATAGGAATATATAGTTTTCTTTGTTTGGAAAACGCGAAGATGATTTTCTTTATTATTAATAATGTGTATTGTTTACTTTTTACCCCTATTCCATACATTTGTAATTAGTAATAAATAATAATATGTTTACTAATAATATTATTATTTTCTTTCTCAACAAGAAACTTCTTCAACAGCAAGAATCTTCAAGACTTTCGACGGCAAGACCTTCCACTACATAACCACCACCATCATTTATTATTATGATTTACAAAGGTAAGAATAAACACATTCTGTTGATTGGTTCTGTAAGAACTATATTGAGAAAACTTCTGTTTTATTTTATTATTATTTATTCATTTTCTTATTTTCATAAAAATAAAAGAGACACTCTACTGCCAAGGATTGGTTTTAGTTTCAATTCTTCCTCACCCCCATTGGTCTCCAACAGAACCGCAACAAAACCTCAGGAAGAGGCAACTGTTTGCGGGGCATCACCGGACTTTTGACCATATAATAAAAGGGTCAGAAGCTTATTCGTCGTGCGCAGGCATTTATTATTTCACATGGCAGTAAGTATCATAAATAATAATATTAATGATATATGCGAGTTCTATTAATAAATTAATATTTTTAAAATTAATATATTAATATATAGTCATATTATTATTACTAACTAATTATAGGTAGAGTATATACTATCTGGAAATAGCAGATTTGGTTTGTAGATAATGTTGTCAGAAAGTAAAAAGTATGTGAATCTCTAAATTGAAGAAATTAAACAATAATTTGCTCTTGACATTAAAATTGGTATTAATTAATTGTAGGCGGTTTAGTCAACATTTTATCACTTCCTTAATAGTCGTTTGAAAATTCTAGTATAACTTCACTTCCACCACCTTCATTTTCATTTCCATTTTATTTCATCTTCATTTTCACTTCCATCTCCATCTCCATCTCCATTTTCTTTTACACTTTCACTTTCACTTTCACTTTCACTTTCACTTTCACTTTCACTTTCACTTTCACTTTCACTTTCACTTTCACCTCTACCTCCACTTTGATAATTCTCTCCATCTCCACACCCACCTTCATCACACCTCTGTTTTCCCTCCATCTTCTCTTTCTTTCCACATACATATGTATTTCCACTTTAATTCCATATCCATATCCACTTTCATATCCACTTTCCATTTTTATCCTCTCTCGTTTTCTGGAACCGCTTTTTATTTTCCTTTGTTGAGGTTTATGCTGATTTTTATAAGCGTTAGGTAAATAAATAATCAATCAAATATCCTATTATATTTATTTAACAATGATTGGTTGATTGATTATAACATTGTGTTAATTATTATGATCTTATTCTTTCTTTATGGGAATTCTGAAGTTAGGGCAATTTTTAATTTGTGTAAGCGCACGTTAATCTCAAAAACGGCTACAAGAAGGGAAAATTCTTGTTAGTGCCGACTTGGGGGAGATAAAAGTTGAATCGATGAGGAGAGGCAATTTGAATTTTTTTATCTTGGTGTTTGTCCAGATAGTTGGTAATTGATCATTAATCAATTATAATTTTATTGAAATAATTGTTTATCGTCATCTTTTTTATAACCTTCATTATATCACCATTATCATCACCTTTGTCATCATCCTATCTTTATTATTATTCTCTCTTTATCATCATCTTTTCTTCTTCTTTCGATAGCTCTTTTACTTACTTGGCATGGAAGGCAGAAGACTCACGGTACGGACTGGATGAAGGCTTTTGATGGCGAGGTAAAATCTAGTAGTGGTAGTTTTATTTAAGATGGAATTAGTATTAAAAAATAGGATTAGAATTAGAATTAGAATTAGAATTAGAATTAGAATTAGAATTAGAATTAAAATTAGAATTAAAATTAGAATTAGAATTAGAATTAGAGTTAAATTTAGAATTAGAATTATAGTTAAATTTAGAATTTAGGTTTAGAATTAAAGTTAAAGTTAGATTTCGTGTAATTTGTGTTTAGTAACCCTTTTTATAGAAAAACTAATAAATATGGTATATACTTAAAAAAAAATGTTATTGATAATCGAGAAAGATAAAATAAACTACAGTTAGATACTTTTTTAGGATGTTCCTTTGTTTTTTTTTCTTCACCTTGTAATTTTTTCTTCGTTTGGTTTCGCCTTTTTTGCATCCATCTCAATTTTTCTATCTCTACTTCTGATTTGTTTTAAATTGAAACTTTTTTTTGGCTCGTCTTTCATTTTTTGCTTCATAGCCTCCGTTTTCTTTTCTGTTCTTTCTCTATCTTTGCTCATTTTTTCCTCCATTTCTTTGATTTTATTCACTAATTTTTCATCAGCTTTTTCTCATTTTTTCATCTATTTCTTTGTGTTGTTCCTTTGTTTCTTTAGAACGACCGTCTAATGGTGGATTATATATATATATACAATGTTTCTACATCCACTAATTAGTTCGTACAATGGTAGCATATTTAATAACATTATTGTCAAATTAATAATTATAGGCTTTCACTCCTTTGGTGAATCCCCCAATTGTAACAATAAGATTTGATTTAAAACCATCTTTCATAGAATGAGAGCTTCTGCTAATCCATTAAAAACTTCTTGAAGAGTTAAGTGTATATCACCAATACCGACTGTATCAATGAGCTTATATAACAGTCCATTAATCTTAAATTCTCGAACATCAGCTTTTCCAGTTTCGTTATCAGAACCTGAACTTTCTTTAAAATCATTAGTACCGCAAATTACATTAGCTAAAGAGGAATTCTCACCTCCGGTTCCGTCAATTATTAATATTGTTCTTTTTTCTTTATTTTCAAGTTTATTAACATCATTATTGTTTTGGTCTTGAAATAATTTGGAATTTTTCTGTTTTATATATTTTATATACTCACAAAAACATAAAACAAAAGGTAGTCTTTTTTATTAATCTGAATTGTACATATGGTGCATTCATCCAATTGCCCTAAACTATACCTAATTACACATTAAAACACAATACTAAATCTTTTTTCTTTATTACTAGAATGAAAATAAGATCACAGTAGGAGGAATCAGAATCCTTAATGGTCAAAATAAAACGATTACTTTAATTCGTGATACGTGATAGAAATTTTGTTACTATATATTAAATATGCAATCTCACATTATTTATTATTTTGATATATTTTTTTATACAAGTTTTTGAATTTGCTGCTTAACAACCTTGGATTTCAGAAAATGTGGTGCGGTATATACTTTTCTCACGGACCACAAATTAATCGTATAATAAGCATAATAAACACGCTGAGATTAATTTGTATTATCACAAATCACTAAAATATTATTACAAAGAAAAATGAAAAGTCGGTCACACTTTTAAACAAACATTGCATAAGAACATAATAATAATTAAATAAAAGCACGATTTTGATATATTTGTTTTCTCCGCCAAAAAGTAATTTCGTTGGACATCTATTATTGCCGACAATCGCTTCAATTCCCTTTCCCATTCTTTCGATTTCTTGCGATTATATCAATATAATTTTGAATAGTACCAGTCTATATTTTTCTATGAATACTAACAACTTAGTTATTTGTGGTCCAGCATATGATTTTTATACACCATGTTGACTCATTTAAGGCTGACATTTTGAGTTTAAAAATTTTCAAAAGAATTATTCAAATTTTTATTAAAAAAATGATGTTTGTTTACAAAAAGGTTCAAACAACATAGCACTTATTATCACATGTTCAAAATCTCTGCATGGTTATTTAAATTTTTTTATTTGGGAAAAATTCTTTGGACGAATTTTTGGAGAATTTTCCTAGTCATGATAGAAAGATTGAATTTCATCGTACATTGGAAGGTTAATAATAAAGCGTTAACATTAATCTTAACACTATATATTTTTGAAGCTTTAATTTCATAATTTGGAATTTATTGATAATGTAATCAAGAAAGATAAAACAAACTATAACAAGGTACAACTAGATTGTTTAGTATGTTCCTTTATACTTTCTTCAACTTTAGCTTGAAGTTTTTTTATCATTTCCTCTAATTTCTTATTTTCTTCCTCCGTCTCCTTTTTTTTGATCCTCGATTTCAAATTTTCAATCTCAAATTCACATTTACACAATTTTAGATTTAACTCATAATTTTCTTCTGCTAATTTTAATTTTTTTTCTTTCATCACTTGTTTCATATTTTCCATTTTCTTTTCTGCTTCTTCTCTATCATTTCTCATTTTTTCCTCCATTTCTTTAGTTTTATTCTTGAATTCTTCACCAGCTTTTTTCGCTTTTTCATCTATTTCTTTGTGTTGTTCCTTCATATCATTTATCATTTTTTCTAATGTTTCTTTTTCTGTCATATATTCTCCAATTCTTTCATTCAATTTATCTAGATTTTTTGGTTTATAAATATCTTTACAAGTAAATAAATGAAGTAAAAGCCTTTTTCTTGATTCATCTCGGATTATTTTATTTGTTTCTTTAGAGCGACCATACAATGGTGGATTATCTATATATATAATATTTCTACATCCATTAATTACAGCCGCAAGTTTTTCATTTTCTTTAATCAGCTTTTCCTTATCATTTTGACATTCATCAACATTTTCAAATTTGGAAAAATTAGTTCGTACAATGGTAGTATACTTGATAACATTCTTGTCAAAAATAATGGCTCTTAATAAATCATAGGCTTCTACTTCCTCTTTGGTGAATCTTCCACTTGCAACAAATAAGATTTGATTTAAACCATCTTTTATAGAATGAGCAGCTTCTGCTAATTCATTAAGAACTTCTTGAGTAGTTAATTGTGTATCACCAATACCGACCGTATCAATGAGTTTATATAACAGTCCATCAATTAAATATTCTTGAATATCAGCTTTTCTAGTTTTGCTAATAGAACCTGAACTTTCTTTAAAATAATTAGTACCGCTAAGTACATTAGCCAAAGCGGATTTCCCACCTCCGGTTCTGCCAATTATTAATATTGTTCTTTTTTCTTTATTTCCAGATCTATTGTTGTTTTCTTGATTTTGTAGCATTTTGTAAATTTTGTGGGTGCTTTGCAAGTAAATAATTTGTAGCTTTATATGTTCTCACAAAAAAATTTAAAAATATAACAATAAAGCATAATCTAGTTTCCTCGTATGATGCGCATATTTTCCATTCATTCCATTTAAAGCAAAATTTCATAAATATTATATAATTTATTTTGTCAAACCAGTTTGAATTCGGATTCTAAACAGACAAACCGGATCGCGACTGGATTCAAAACGGATTTAGAATTTTTAGACAATTGCAATAATATTATTTATTATTATGCAAATAACAAATACCATTATAGCACTACGTGCCTCAACCCTTGAATTTGGATGCGCAATTTTTCGATACACAAGTGGAAGGTATCAAAGACTGTTTATTATATTCTAGTAATGCACCATTTGGCCACGAAATAGTCTATTTTATGAAAAATTACATCGTTACGCAAAAAGGATGTAATTAGTTTTTTATTTGAATTTTTTTATTTTTAATTGAAGAAAACCCGTTTCAAACCTCTTTTTTATTTTAAAGAGCCGGGTATCCGTGATTTATGGATAATTATTATAATAATAAATAATAATTAAAAACACACAATGCTAATGAAAATAAAGCTATTGAATTCCTATAAAAGGAATGAATGGAAATGTAAATTTAAAAAAATTTACAATTACAAAAGAAAAATGAAATATAATGGTTCTAATGAATATTGTGGGGCAATAAAGTTTTGTGATTGTAGTCTCTCAACCAAATTTCCAAAGAAACATATTTTTAATGGCGCTACTGAAAGCAATGGATGGTGATGGATTATCAAGTACCAGAAGACGACTTAAAAGAGAAATCCTGTCAATAAAAAAACCATTTACAACATAACACACTCCTTTGTCAAAAAATATCTCTCATTATGCTGTGGATAGGTGGAGTTTATTTGGGAATCATCTGATAAATCATACCCTTACAATTAAATTAAAAGAATGCCACTATGGAAAACGAAAATTACAATTGACAAAAAATGTCCATATAGTCTTAAAATACTTCTTTAAACCTCTCCCACCAATATTGTTATTTCTAATATTCTTTCATTCAGTAAATTTTACATTTGGAAATTGACCTTTGAGCACAATTATGTTACCAACCATCAGTGGAACATAATGATGGCGGCACAAGTCACTCTCGTTATAAGGATACTCCTGATACAAGCAAAAATGTCCGTATAACGAGATGTCCTTATAATGAAAGTTCATAACAATCACGTGGTTCATAAAAAAGTTATATAAAATAAAACTAAAAACAAAATCGTTTTAGTGTAAATATTGGATAATTTCATAATTCTTTTATTGTTGTTAAATAGTCTAGTTTGAAAGCGTTACCAAAAAAAAAACAATCATGAATAAATTTGCTTTGTTGTTAAAATGGTATACTTCATCACAAATCAATTTCTTTGTCTTTTTTTGAAAGTATAGTTACTTCATAATCATCAAAAAAACAATTTATAAAATTTTCGTTATTGTTAATAAGAGATCAATCAAAAACGTAAAGATACTTTGTTACCACCAAAACAATTTGTAAATTAATTATTGTGTTAATAAAAATAAACTCGATTTAATATTAGTAATTTGAAAACATTAATCAGAAATTTAGTTAATCTAATATTATTAATATTATTAATTTGTCATAGTGATCGGTGGGATTTGATTGGTTCTTTCGTTATACTGACATGTCCTTATAACGGATGTCACTATAATAATAACGGGATAGATTTTATAATTATAAAAATTTTTTTTTGTAAAATTATATCCTTATACTCGTATAACGGGATATAGTGAATGTCATTATAACGGGAGTAAATTTAAATTTGTAAAAATAACATAATATTAAAAACTGCCTAAAATTAAATCTTAAAAATTTTATCTAGTTTATTATTAATATTTGATGTACGAAGCTGTTGTAATGTATCGATAAAGTATGGTTTATCAATAATAGAAACGATATGCCACAAAAGCTTTGATCAGAGCTCTATTGATTGATTCATTTTTCTCGATTGATAATAAAATGGTTTGCAATAATTAGAAATTGTGAGTTAATAAGGTTACCTACTAATTTCATTAAGGCAATCTCCCCTAACTTCTGAAGTACACCCTGGACAATGAGTTTTTGTGGTCAACCACAATAGTATTACTTACTTATTACAATATTTACATTGTGCTGACAGTTGAAAAAGGTCTGCCAGTTCCTCAGACATTAAGATTTTGTCGATCCAT